AAACATCGCCCTCTCAGTAAACATCCTGGTGATTTCCGTCACCGACTCCGAATCCTGTTTCAGCTCCAAGAACTCCTGAGCCAACCTCTCCCTCTCGACCTGCGGAACATAACGAGTGCTGAACATCTCTCTGAACTGATCCCATGAAATCGCAGCCCTCTGCGCATCCGAGTATGACCCCGTGGTCAATCTCCACCAATCCTTTGCCCCGAGCCTTAACAGGTTCAGAGCGCACCTCACCCTCTGATCAGCAGGGCATGAACACGTGAAGAAACATCCCTCCACATCTGATAACCATCTCATAGCAACGATCGGATCCTGAACTCCATCAAAAGTGGGAGGCTTCGTATTATCGAAGTCCCGATACTGAAATCCTCTACTAGCTCCTCCCCCTGCCGCTGCTACAGCTGCTGTAGCCGCCGGGCAGCCGTCTCCGTGAGAGCCGCATAGCGCTCATCAAAATACTCCACCATGGCGGTCTTGATCGACCCAAACAACTCCGGCAGCTCAGCCCGAAACAATGCAGCAACCTCATCATGCAGGATCTCACGAATCCTCGCATCCAACTCGTGCGTACTCATCTGACTGACAACCTCGGGCTGTACGGACCCACCCGGAACTCCCTCTCCTGCTCCTGATCCTGACCCGGATCCACTCCCAGCGTGTCCTGAAGTCTCCATACTGAAAATAAACCACCAGAAATCTCAGACACTTCCCACTATCCCGGGAACCAACTCTCAACCCAACCCTAGGGGTCATGGTTTCCCTAATACGCGTATGGGTCCTGTGCTTTCAGTAGTACGGGCCCATACTACCTTCCACACCTACCCATATTTGTATGAAGTACTTCCACAACACCCTAGCGAAAACATACATACCAACGCTTTATCTTCACAACTAGAGGAACACTAGAATCTCTCACAAGGAAACCCTAGGCTAGCAGGCATCATAAATCAGGCAACACATCAAGAAATCCTGAAGATCCCTAGCCTAACTCTAGCATGCTGTTCTATCAAAGCTCAATAAAATAAATATCATGTATGGTATTTGGGGTTACTTACTGGCTCCGGCTGATCGTACCTCCGCGTCCTCCTTTACTTATTTTGAAAACCATTTTAATTTCTCTTTTGAAAACCCTCCTCGATTTGAGACTGGAGTCACACAAGTGTTCCTCCAATTCACTCAAACCAAGGCTCTGATACCAACTTGTAACGACCGAAAAATGCAACCAATTTAAATTTTTCAAAAACAACCTGATTTCATTAAATTGTTTACAAAAAGGTTTTCAATACAAATTGTTTAGAGTATTCCCAGAATCATATTACTACAAAATCATGAGGAGCGGTACGATCACGCCTTTGCCTTGCCACAGTCTCCTGAAGAACCTGAAAAACATTAAACCACAACTGTAAGCCCGAAAGCTTAGTGAGATACCCCCAAAATACCAACCACATATACGCCCTTCCAGGCTACGACCTTCCGGTCCAAAACATATTGCCTTCCGGCCCATAACATATAAAACATACACAACATAACAGAACATAGAACAACCATGCATATCGGGTCTACTGTGTGACTGGTCCACCGTATCGGGCCTTCAGTCCACCGGATCCATCCTCCAGGTCTAGTCATGTCCTTCGAGTCTACAGTGGGGTTGGTCCGCCCGCACTGGGCCTTCAACCCACCTGGTCCACTCTCTGAGTCTACAGTGTGACTGGTCCGCCCGCATCGGGCCTTCAGTCGGCCTGGTCCACTCTCCGAGCCTCGGCACGTCTGGTCCGCCCTCGTGGGGCCTACAGCCTATCCGGACCGCTCGCTGGGCCTTCGGAATAACCGGTCCGCCCTGGGTATCTTGGCCTACAGCACAAAGCAGGACCCGCCTCAACCCATCTCCAGTCCAAACAACCATGTGCACATAACATACAATCATATAACAGTCATAGTCAACAAACCGAGCAAGCAGATCACATAGCATATCATTACCCTAACCAGGTTACCGACCTAACCAGTCACTAGCATAGCATCACTCTATATAGCGGGAAACTGACCTTAACAAGGTCTCCAGCATGTACCATCCTAGCTACCAGGATGCAGACACATCAAACAATAACATAATAACCATATCCGAATCTCAATCCAATAAAGGGCCGACCTTGGTGCCTTAGACCCTGTTGATATAGTGAGGATAACTCACCTCGAAACTGCCGGCTGAAAGGATAAGATCTCGCTGCTCCGAACTCTGACACGAACTCCTCCACTGAACATCAAAACATTCAACTCAATATATATACCCTTATTTACCAAAATACCCCTCGAAGACAACTGGTCAACCCCTGACTGACTCTACTCGCCGAGTCAACCCGATGACTCGCCGAGTCCCCAAGCTCAGAACTTCCCTCAATCCGCGACCTGACTCGCCGAGTCACCCCGAGACTCGCCGAGTCCAACCACTCTGAGTCCACTCACACCCAACTCACCGAGTCATCCCTTGACTCACCGATTCATCGACTCAACCAGAAAATATTGAAGACTCTTCCACAAGACTCGCCGAGTCCAAGAACAGACTCGCCGAGTCTATGGCTATCTTCAACCTACTCGCTGAGTTGTTCTTCCAACTCGCCGAGTTCCAGGCCATCTTCAAGCAACTCGTCGAGTCCACCCTTGTGACTCGTCGAGTACCACCGGTCTGAATCCATACAGAAGCATCTCAGGCCATGCAATTGATCCAAAACATAGATCTAGCCTCCTACAACCCATCCATCATGTAAAGTGGCAAACTTTACGTGAATCCATGAAGATCTAAGCATTATACACATTAGGGCTAAGGTTTGGGACAAGATAGCTTCACTACATACTCAATCACAGGGACTTTCAGGCATTCCAACCCTTCTCCATTCGAGATCTGAGGTAGCAACCTTAGATCTAACCTCTAGACTTCAAAACACCAAAAGATGTGATCTCATCATCCCCAAAAGTGAAGAATCTAGACAATAGCAGCTCAAGAACGATATTTTACCTTCAAAGGATGCCCCAATCTGCAAGGAACTCGAAACCAAGCAAAGCCCCTTGCTCCACACCTTCAAACTTCCAAACTTTCTTCAATAATTACTTCTCCAAGCTTCAATCCACTCAACAATGGTGCTTCTCCACGATTTTAGGGTTTCTGGGACTAAAGGGGGGTGATTAAGAGGCTGGGGAGGAAACATAATGCTCTTTATATAGGGCTCAACCCCGAGAATTAGGGTTTTCTCCACACAGCACCTACTCGCCGAGTCCATCTTTGGACTCGCCGAGTAGGCCACTTGATACGCGACCAAAGTCGCGACCTGACTCGCCGAGTCGCCCTCCGAAACTTACACTTTTAGCCCTTCAATTCTACTCTTGCGATTCCGGGATGTTACATTTTATCTGGATGTGACAAAGATTTCCTGTAGAGACCTTTTGATCTTGCTGAGATCAAGGATGCGGTTTGGAGTTGTGGCGGGGACAAGGCTCCCGGGCCTGATGGTTTCACATTCCAATTTTTTAAACATTTTAAGGACCTTATACATGATGATGTTATGAGGTTTGTGAAACACTTTGAAGAATTTGGATGTTTTCCGAGAGGTAGTAACTCTTCCTTTATCACTCTTCTGCCCAAGGTCAACGATCCATTAACATTGACAGAGTTTCGCCCGGTTAGCCTGATTGGAAGTGTGTATAAGATAATCGCAAAGGCTCTTGCAAATAGAATCAAACAGGTTATTGGGTCAGTTATCGATAATGTTCAAACGGCTTTCATTCAAGGAAGGAATATTTTGGACGGTCCTTTGATTATTAATGAATTACTTACTTGGGCAAAGAAAAATAAATCCAAATCGTTCTTCTTCAAAGTTGATTTTGATAAAGCCTTTGATTCCTTAAATTGGAATTACCTGGACAATGTAATGGAGCAGATGGGATTTGGTGGGAAATGGAGGCAGTGGATTTGGGGCTGTCTTTGTTCTGCTAGGGCTTCGGTACTCATCAACGGTGCTGCCACTAGGGAGTTCCCCATATCGAGGGGCATACGTCAGGGAGACCCACTCTCCCCCTTCTTGTTTATCATTGCCATGGAGGGGCTCAATGCGGCCATGAAATCTACTGACCAGAAGTCAATTTTTCATGGAGGGAATACTCCAGGCAATGGGCCAGTTATCACTCACTTGTTCTACGCGGACGATGCTATCTTCATTGGTAAGTGGGAGAGCTCAAATTTCCTGAATCTTGCGCGCATTCTCAAATGCTTCTATGTCTCTTCGGGGTTAAAAGTCAACCTCCAGAAGTCAAAAGTTTATGGTGTTGGTGTGTCGGATAATGAAGTTGTAACGTGTGCTCGCCTTCTCGGTTGTGAATCAGCTTCCTTCCCCTTCAAATTTCTTGGTGTTCCCGTTGGGGCCAATATGTCCCTTAAGCGCAATTGGCAACCTATCATGGAGAAGGTGCACAAACGACTCTCTTCCTGGAAAGCTAAAGCTTTGTCTGTGGGTGGTCGGTTTACTCTAACCAAATCTGTTCTCGGAAGTTTGCCTCTGTACTATTTTTCTCTTTTTATGGCGCCTAGATCTGTTTTGGACAGATTGGAGTCAATTAGGAGAAAATTCTTTTGGGGAGGCTGTGAAGAAAGGCGCAAGATTAATTGGGTGGCTTGGAATGTTGTGCTAGGGCCTAAAGGAAAGGGAGGTCTTGGTATTGGTTCTCTTGAATCATTGAGCATTTCTTTGCTTATCAAGTGGTTATGGAGGTTTTATGATGAAAGGGATTCTTTATGGAGGAGGGTTATTTGTGGAATTCATAATTGTGGAAGGAAGCATGTAGACAGGTGGGCCAAACAATTGTTAGGTGGGTGTTGGTTTAATATTATCAACGTCGTTTCTTGTCTCAACGACTTGGGGGTGAATTTCAAGTCTACTTTTGACATCTGTCTTGGGGATGGTAAGAAAACTTTGTTTTGGTTGGATGATTGGTTGGGTAATGGTACGATGGCTTTCAATTTCCCTCATCTTTTTGAACTTGACAAACGAAAGAGCTGCTTTGTTGCGGAAAGAGTTGGCTCTGATAGGCTGAAGTGGGATTGGAAAAGGAAACCCAACACTGTGATTAAGCGTGAGGAGTTGGATTTATTAGTTAGGCTTGTGGAACGGGTGCAATTTTCTTCAGAGCCTGATAAATGGAAGTCGAGATTTTTGGGGGATGGAGGTTTCTATGTTCATGACTTGCGTAGTGTGATTGAGGATTTGAATGCCCCTGTTGTTTACAACCCAACGGTTTGGCCTAAGATTGTCCCGCTAAAAGTTTCAATTTTCGTTTGGTGTGCATGTATGGATCGTATCCCTACTGTGATGGCTTTGGCGCGTAGAGGCGTAAATGGTATGTCGACTTCTTGTTTACTTTGTAACGTGGGAAGTGATGAGACGAACCATATTCTTTTGCATTGCCCTGTTGCTTGGGATGCGCTGATGTGGCTGCTTAATTGGTGTAACATCTAACCGCCTACTTTCAATGGTGTTGGGGAACTTGTAAAATTTGCTGGGTGTTGGGGTTCCTGCCCGAAAAGAAGGAAGATCTTAATCGCCTTATGTTATGGGTTCTTATGGTGTGCGTGGAAGATAAGGAACGAACGGAGGTTCAACGACACTTGTAGTTCGCAATCAAAATTGACGGATAATGTTGTTTCTTTAGTGTTTGGTTGGGTAAAATACAGGGGAAACTTTGATAGTTGTAAATGGGAAGATTGGTGTATTTCCCCTTTTAATGTTTTGTAATTAGTTTTTTGCCCTTGCCTTTTCCTTTTCGGCTTCGCGCTTTTTAATAAAATTTTTGCCATTTAAAAAAAAAATCTTTTATCGTTTTAACCAAATTATTAATTTTATTGTTCAACTTGTTAAAAGATTGAAAAAATATTTAGGAATTATCTATTCGTTTTGTTTATATTTAGAAAAATAAATTGTATACAATTGATCAATTTATTTGTAAAAATGTTCAAATGTTATCATACTCACCAACCATTAGGTTATAACTTATTTAACATATATATTTGATATCTACGTGACAAACTAAAATGAAAAAATAACTTAGGAGGATAATTATCCATATGTTTTGTTCATATTCAAGGATATATATATATATATATATATATATATAGATATAGGTAGGTAGGTAGGTTAAATTGAGAAAATAAAAAAAGTTGAGAATGGGGGAATCATTCTCAGCCACTCATTTAATCTAACCATAAAAAGACACGGTGGCAAACTTGTAAATATGTTAATAACCTTCAATCTCAAATACGTATTGATAACAGTTCATTCATCATCAAAAATTTTCCTCCAACCTTCAATAATCATCCAGATTTCTTCAACTAAATCAAAATTTCTTCATTGTTCATGAAATTAGAATCGGAATTTTGGACTCGCAGTCACAGTCGACATTGAAGGACTCATAATCGGTACTCACAGGTTCCTAATTGGATTTTCGGAAATAAAAATCAAAATGAGAAATCGATCAGACATAGGATGTCGCATCTGAAGTCGAAATCGGAAGTATATGATGATTTGGAATTGATAACTTGATGTTTTTAACATTTTTAAAATAGTTAACTTGTATGCACTCTAATTGTTTGATGAAATGCATAAACTAAATTATCACATTATATTCACATATGAATATGTTTTCTCACCTGAATCAGTATATGATTATTAAAAACACAAAACAAATATGCAAATCTGTATGTTATTCATATGTGAATAACATATAAAAATTATATATATTTGTCAAAATACCTTTAAATATTCATAAGTGAATATATTCATAAGTGAATATACCTTGTAATATTCATATGTGAATATACTGTATAATATTCATAAGTGAATATATCATCTAATATTCACAAGTGAACAAGTGAATATTGTATGTAATATTCATATACCATAGAATACTATGTAATATTCACATATGAAATATTATTTAATACTCATAAGTGAATATATCATCTAATATTCACAAGTTAATATACTATGTTAATATTCACAAGTGAATGCATCGTTCAATATTAAAATATGAATACACTATGTTTATTATATGCTATATTCACATATGAATGATACTTAAATTGTAAAAAAAAAATCATACTTTTTATTCATAAGTGCATAACGAATGTATTATAATAAAACCTGATGTATTTTTATTCACTTATGAATAACGATAGCTGAAAATATATAAAAAAAATATTTTATCTTAAAACTATATCAATATGGATGTCCATTTGTAGAGAATAAAAAATCATGAATTTTGTTATATTTAAAATCATTTTTTGATAAAAATAGCTTCTAAAAATAAAAAAAAAACGAAAAAACTATGTTTTTTTTGTATATATTAAGATAATGATTAGCATAGTTTAAGGAAATATGTTTTGTTGGAAAACACATGTGCATTCTTTTCTCATTTCCGTCGGTACATTGGACGCTTTTGCGGCAAAAATAAATGATTGATTGAGAATGATTCCCCTATTCTCAACTTTTTTTTTTCTCAATTGAACCCTCCCCTATATATATATATATATATATATATATATATATATATATATATATATATATATATATATATATATATATATATATATATCCTGTTCAATTGAGATGCTAAAAAAATAATGATCTTGAGAGTCAACTTCAACCACATATTTCTCATTTGCTACTCTAACGCTCAAGCTTACCAGTAACAACGGGGTATACCTTATCATAAATGATTATATGGCGGAGAAATATAATCATATATGATTATACATCTTTATATATATATGTCTGTTCGGAAAGTGCTTAATCATATATGATTAATTATGGTGGTTGAGGGAGGAGGAAGGGGTGGTTTAGTTAATGAAGGTCGTAGTAATGTGGTTGGTTGGTGGTAGGGTAGGGGTGGTGGTGACGGGTGCGGTTGTGGTGGTGGGGAAGATGGTGGACCAAAAAGGAACGAGTAACGTTGCATAATCATTTATGATTATAAACTCTCCGGCTATACTGGTACACCAGAGGGTTAGAGTAACATATGAAAAATATATTGTTGGGTTGAATCTCAAGATAACTATTTTTTTTATAATCTTAAGAGAACCCCTCTCTTTCTCTCTATGTGTGTATATATATATCTTCCTATTCTAATAAAATAATAGCTTTAATATTTCTTCTTGACTATTGCGGGTTTGACACTATTCAATACTAAATATCTACTCGTGGAGGGAGGGGAGGCAATAGATTCATCTTAGGCGGTAAGCGAAGGAACTGTAGGGCTTAGGTCTCCTTTTGACATGTATCATCTTATTAGGCATTTTAATAAATACATATTCTATTCTACTTTTGACATGTGTCAACCTATTAGTTTTCCTAATTAATGCATGTCATTTATTAACATATTAATTCACAATTTTAAATTTCCCACTCTAATTATATTAAATTAATAACATTACAATAAAATTAATACAAATTATAAGATGATATAATTTATATATTTATTTAAATTAACAATTATAATTTTATATAACTAAAAAAATATCTTTTAATTAATAATTAATTTAAAATATTTGATTAATAATTTTGAGTTTTCACTATAAAAGTTTAATTAATTTTGTAACCGTGATTCCCACGTGTTATAAACTAATATATATATATATATATATATATATATATATATATATATATATATATATATATATATATATATATATATATATATATATATATAGACACACACATACGCACACATAGATACGATTGACCATCGAACTTGTTAGAAGTGTTCGAATGTCATAGTTTGTAACTAATACTGAGTTTTGATGATTAAATAACTTTGTAATATATCTTTTAAATTTTGATGTAATTTTTAAATTTATTTTTAATGTATTATCTATATATTGTTACGAATAATTTCAATTTTGTTAATTCTTCCTTTTGAAGGAGTAGCTACCAATTTGCCATGAAACAAATAACTACAAATTTTGTTATGGAAAATAGTTATGAATTTTTTTTATAGAAAGATGATTATAAAATTTTCGATGGTAAAATGGTTAAAAAATATGGTTATAGAAATTGCTAAGGAAATATGTCTACATTATAACATTTAAACATCCTTTAAAGATTAAAAACATTTTGTGACGACCCAATTTTCAAGGCCAAAAATTTCATTTTTGAATTAACGCATTTAACGAACATTTTACCAAAACATTGTCAATAAAACATCCATTACAAAATCATAATGTTGTATTTCAAACCATAACATCATAAGTATTGAAAATCAGAGTACAGTCCCAAAAACTTCTTGTGGAAACATGTGTGTGTGTGTGTGATGCGCTGCTACACCGCCGACTCTTTCCCCTTCAACGAAGAGGTACCTGAAACTAAAACCAAAACTATAAGCACAAAGCTTAGTGAGTTCCCCCATCATACCACATACCATACAATATTGTCGGTATCTTTCAACCGGTAACCATCATCAATATCTTTCAACCGGTAACCTTCATCGGTATCTTTCAACCGGTAACCAACATCGGTATCTTTCAACCGATAATCAACATCAGTATCTTTCAACCGGTAACTGAGGACTATTTCACCCCTACTACTAGCATATAATCAACAGATATAAGCATACAGTCAGGCATATCCGGGTACTGACCTACCCTTGTGTCCTAAGGACCACTGTCAGGGAAACTAATCCCTACCATACACATAACATACTACCCAGATAAACCTCACAACCAACACATAACCAAACCAAGATAATTATCACAAAGACCATTATCTTCTAAATAACCCTTTTTGGTGGGCCGACATTGTGGCCTTAGACCCACCCCTACTGGAAGGTAACTCACCTCAATATCGTGCAGTGTCTGAACTATCCTCAGCGCACAAGTCGACTCCCTACGACTCCTCGATCCCTACATGACAACCTTCAAGTCAACACACATCACATACAACCCTAAACAGGGTCAGTCCAAGTTCAGTCAAAGTCAACATTCAGTTGACCTGACTCGCCGAGTTGGCCTACCAACTCGTCGAGTCCATGATTCTCTAATCCCACACAAAACCCCGGCTCCACTCGTCGAGTCTAGCAAAAACTCGACGGGTTCTCCTTCAATCATAACATCGGGACCATTTTCATCCGAATCGCCGAGTTCCTTCTTGAACTCGTTGAGTTCATTTCCAACTTAAGAGCTTGTCCAGTCTATGACTCCCCGAGTTGTATGAACAACTCGTCGAGTCCATCTTTAAAGATTGGGAGATTGCTATGGACTCGCCGAGTCTGCTCATACCACTCGCCGAGTCCCATGGCTTCCAGGTCCCTTTTTGCGTCTAAACCCACAAGGGACTTCCTTCCTAACACTTACCCATTCGCCGAAAGGGTTTGGTGCACAATGGTCACCGACTCGTCGAGTGCCAAGAACAACTCGCCGAGTCTAACCTTGACCAATTCCATATAGTTGATTTAAATGAGGTCTAACACA